TTAAACACAGAATCCCAGTTCTTGATCATCACAGGGCAGTTCACTTTCACAGCAGTGAACTACAGTGAAATCATGTTAAACACAGAGTCCCAGTTCTTGATCATAACAGGGCAGTTCACTGTCACAGCAGTAAACTACAGTGAAATCATGTTAAACACAGAGTCCCAGTTCTTGATCATAACAGGGCAGTTTACTGTCACAGCAGTAAACTACAGTGAAATCATGTTAAACACAGAATCCCAGTTCTTGATCATAACAGGGCAGTTCACTGTCACAGCAGTAAACTACAGTGAAATCATGTTAAACACAGAATCCCAGTTCTTGATCATCATAAGGCAGTTCACTGTCACAGCAGTAAACTACAGTGAAATCATGTTAAACACAGAATCCCGGTTCTTGATCATCATAGGACAGTTCCCTGTCATAGCAGTAAACTACAGTGAAATCATGTTAACACAAAGTCCCAGTTCTTGATCATAACAGGGCAGTTCACTGTCACATCAGTAAACTACAGTTAACACAAAGTCCCAGTTTTTGATCATCATAGGGCAGTTCACCGTCACAGCAGTAAGCTACAGTGAAATCATGTTCAACACAGAGTACCGGTTCTTGATCATCACAGGGCAGTTCACTGTCACAGCAGTAAACTACAGTGAAATCATGTTAAACACAGAGTCCCAGTTCTTGATCATAACAGAGCAGTTCACTGTCACAACAGTAAACTACAGTGAAATCATGTTAAACACAGAGTCCCGGTTCTTGATCATCACAGGGCAGTTCACTGTCACAGCAGTAAACTACAGTGAAATCATGTTGAACACAGAATCCCAGTTCTTGATCATCACAGGGCAGTTCACTGTCACAGCAGTAAACTACAGTGAAATCATGTTCAACACAGAATCCTAGTTCTTGATCATCACAGGGCAGTTCACTGTCACAGCAGTAAATTACAGTGAAATCATGTTAAACACAGAATCCCAGTTCTTGATCATCACAGGGCAGTTCACTGTCACAGCAGTAAATTACAGTGAAATCATGTTAAACACAGAGTCCCGGTTCTTGATAATCACAGGGCAGTTCACTGTCACAGCAGTAAACTACAGTGAAATCATGTTAAACACAGAGTCCCGGTTCTTGATAATCACAGGGCAGTTCACTGTCACAGCAGTAAATTACAGTGAAATCATGTTAAACACAGAGTCCCGGTTCTTGATAATCACAGGGCAGTTCACTGTCACAGCAGTAAATTACAGTGAAATCATGTTAAACACAGAGTCCCGGTTCTTGATAATCACAGGGCAGTTCACTGTCACAGCAGTAAACTACAGTGAAATCATGTTAAACACAGAGTCCCGGTTCTTGATAATCACAGGGCAGTTCACTGTCACAGCAGTAAATTACAGTGAAATCATGTTAAACACAGAGTCCCGGTTCTTGATAATCACAGGGCAGTTCACTGTCACAGCAGTAAACTACAGTGAAATCATGTTAAACACAGTGTCCCGGTTCTTGATCATCACAGGGCAGTTCACTGTCACAGCAGTAAACTACAGTGAAATCATGTTAAACACAGAGTCCCGGTTCTTGATCATCACAGGGCAGTTCACTGTCACAGCAGTAAACTACAGTGAAATCATGTTAAACACAGAGTCCCAGTTCTTGATCATCATAGGGCAGTTCACTGTCACAGCAGTAAACTACAGTGAAATCATGTTAAACACAGAATTCCAGTTCTTGATCATCACAGGGCAGTTCACTGTCACAGCAGTAAATTACAGTGAAATCATGTTAAACACAGAGTCCCGGTTCTTGAATATCTATCGAAAGTCCAAATTGCCTCAGGACATCCAGACCAATGATGCACTCATCCATGATATCTGCAACGTAGCCTTTATGCTGGAAAATCTTGCTTCCGATTTGTATGCTTAGCAAGACACAATGGTGCACTTTAGCCCGCTCCCCTGTTGCAGTTTGCAGTGAAATTGGCTTCATTCGAACCTCAGCAGGCTTTGGATACAGATTCTGGAAGACATCAGCTCGCAGGAGGGTGACATTAGCTCCAGTGTCAATTACCATGTTGCAGCTTCTTCCATTTATGAAGCCCCGTAGCAATAATCCATCTTCTGTATTTCGAAGCCTGGAGACTTGGATGGTACCATCAGGGGCATTCTCAAATGACCCAGCCAGCTTTCGCCCTGAAAAGCTGGTTCTTCCTAGGGGCTGAGGGGGTTTTAGAGTTATCTGGACAGTTTTTCCCTATGTGGCCATCTTTTCCACATTTCCAGCAACCTGTATCACTGCGCTGTTTTACTTTTCGGGGGCAAGTTGGAGACAGGTGGTCATTAGCTCCACAGGTCCAGCAGCGACCCTTTTCTCGTTCTGGATTATCCAATTTAACTTGTCTAGCCACGCGATAACTTCCCCTTGAGGCTTGTTGGGCTGCTTCATTCTTCATGGCTTGGACAAGGGTTTCTTGTAGAGTAGTCGCACTTAAAAGTCTGGCAAACTTTGGGTCTCAGGGTCTCCGATGGCATCAATAAACTGTTGTTGGGCCATAAAATCTTGTGTTTCAGACGGGCACGTTGGAAAGGCTAATCTTGCCAGGCGTCGGATGTCGTTGGCCAAATCATGCAAACTTTCTTTTCTTGTAGTCTATTCTTGAACTTCACCACATGAAGTTGTTGGTAATGTTCTTCTCCATATCGGGACTCCAAAGCATCAATCAGGGCGTTGAAGTCTAGGCGAAGTTGTTCCGGAATCATCTGGAGTACATCCACTGCCGGTCCACGAAGTGCAGCAGCCAAAAAGCTTGCCCTATCTCTAACGTTCCATCTGTTAGCTTTGGCAACCACATCGAACTGGGTTTTGAAGGAGGTCCATGTTGATTGTCCATCAAAGGTAGGAACTTTGACAAGAGGCCTACCCGAATTGTTATTTTCTTGCTGGAAAACCGGAGTTCTTGGGTGGCCTGTTTCCACAGCAGCAAGTCTCTGTTTTAAAGAAGCCATTTCTTGCTGGAAATCCGGAGTACTTGGATGGTCCGTTTCCACAACAGCAAGTCTCTCTTCTAAAGCAGATATCTTTTCTTTCACTTCTTCTTTTACAGAAGAGATTTCATCTTCTAAGCATTTGAACTTAAGCCCCAAGCTTTCTTTTAGCTCTTGATGTTGAGCTTGAAAAGCCTCATGAGTTTCTTGATTTTGAGCTTGAAGAGCCTCGTGAGTTTCTTGATTTTGAGCTTGAAATGCCTGGTTGAGAGCTTCACGAGTTTTGTGATTTTGAGCTTGCAAAGCCTGGTTTTGAGCTTGAATAGCTTCACGAGTTTCTTGATTTTGAGCTTGCAAAGCCTGGGTTTGAGCTTGCATAGCCTGGTTTTGAGCTTGGATCGCTTTCAATATTTCTTCCATTTTTCTGGTAAGTACCATAAATTATTCAGGCTTCACCTAAAGATCCCACTTCTGACACCAAATTTTTGCGTTGTTGGTTAACAAAGAATAACTTCCGTGGGTACAAAGGATCTTTAGGACTTTATTTAAGCCTAATCGATAAAGTAATTACAGAAGAGTGCAAAAATAAAACAACAATAAAGAAAACAGCAGTTACAAACTCACCAACTGCAGCACGGTGAGGGAAAGCAGGAGCAGAACAGGAGACAGAAGTTCGTAGAACCTTCTAGAATCTTTCAAGAAGTACACTGGCGTCGGCGGTAGGCAGCAGTCCGACCTCTTGAGACAGCAGCTTGCTTGGAGTACACCACGTAGCTTCGTTCTTCGACCTCTCTTTTATCTTTCTTCTTCCCCTGGCATGAGTTTCTCATCCCTATATATCCCGGAGTAGATCTTTCCAGAACGGTCACGGTTGGTCAGCCAATCAGAAAGCCGCCAGCACCGAGCGTTGTGCAATAGCTGTAGATTGGCCAATCAGTTGTCTTCCGCTTTTTCTACATGATTCTTAAACGCTCTAGAACATTCTCTCTCTCTCTCTCCATCTGGAATGTGCTTTTATTTCTACATAACAATATTTTATAAGCTTATGTGTTGGAATATTTAATTTTATAAAAATAAATATATATATATATATTCTGTGAGATTGGATATGATGATAACCTAATATGAAAAAGTTGTTGTTAAAAAGTGACGAACAAAAACTTGATTAAAAATATATATAGGCACTATTATCTTTTGTATTTATTGTGTTTTCTTATTGTAATGTATGTATAATAAATAATACATTTAAAGGAGAAGTCTGTCAATCATCAAAAAACAACATTATGTCCATAGTTTTCTTGAAAACCATTTCTGAGATTCCATCCTTCAGTGCTCCGTATATAAGCAGAATAGCCCAATACAGTATTAGAGCTCTGAGAAGCGGTCTGGTGGATTAAATTGGCGAAACCGCTGGGAGGGTTCACCACTGATGAGCCAAGCCCTACCAATATATTTTTTTCATCGCAGTAAGGACAGTAGAAGTTTGTATTATGTATAAAAGAAATTTATTTATTTGGATTTGGTCTTATTACCTTGTGTTTAATATTTTAACACAAAATCAATAACACCTGCAGCAGCAGTGGATGTCTTTAATACATTAAAATTTATTTATTAAAAAACATTTCAGAGGAAGAAAGACATGCATGTTTTTTTTCAAAATGACCATTTGGAATACATCCTGAATTGGATTTCAGTGCAAAAACAGACATCTATAAAGAAATTTTTTAAAAGATCTTCATGATTATTTTTAAATAATATTTTAAATTTTCATTTTATTTACCATATTTATTTCCTTTTAACTGCTATATGCTTCAATTAGAATAAACTATTATTTAATACTAGACGAATGGCCCGGGCAACGCCCGGGTTTTACCCGAGTGCGTATATATTTTAAAAACGTTTTAATTCAAATACTATTCGTTACAATTATAAATTGGCGCCATGGATGTCACTCTTGTGAAACGTCCCATCCAAACTGTGTGTTTTTAAAATGTTTTAATTAAAATACTATTTGTTACAATTATAAATTGGTGGAAGGCTGGTTAAAACCGTTTGGTTTTCGACCACTAGGACCCGGGTTCGATTCCCGCATTGGACACTTTTTTCTGTTTAAAAAAAAAAAAATGCTCCAATGGCCCCCAATTCTTGCAAAAGTCCAACCCCACCAGCGAGTGCAAGTAACCAAACGGGGCTCTGGCATTTGTAAGTGCAAAGTCGAACTGCTTTTCACATGTGTAGACATGTGATGCGCTTACAGTAAAAAGCAGTCGCTAACTACCCACCATGATTATCATGGCCTGTACCACGTGTACTAGGGATAAGCAAAAAATAATAATAATAATAAAAAAATAAAAATAAATTGGCGCCGTGGATGTCTCTCTTGTGAAACGTCCCGCCCCAAACTGTGTGTGTCTTGAAAATATAAAAATAAAAATGTGAATTTTCATAAAGATTTCATCATGTCAATTTTTTTTTTGCATTTCACCTACTAAATCGATAGAGATAATTACATTTGTTACATGAACTTAGGTATATTGACTAAATATAAAACTGCATCGTAATAAATTAACTTTATATTAACTTTATGAACGGAAAAATATGTCCAGGGTAGCCTAGTGGTCATGGCATCTGCCCGGTAAGCGGAAGGTCGTGGGTTCGATTCTCATCCCTTGACACTTTTTTTAATTTATCCATTCTGACCAAAATATAATTATATAAGTAGCAATTATATAAGTAGATTTTAATAAGGTCTGTAGAGTTAATATTTGATTATATAACTGAAAAGAAACACATTGCCAGTAAATTTATTTGTTACAATTATTTTTGTTTCTAAAATAAAGTAAAACCCCTCTATAGTGAACCCCAATGGGACAGAGCTTTTGGTTCACTATAGCCACGGTTCACTATAGCCACGGTTTGGCCATTTTTTTTAAACTTTTCTAAATTTTTAGACCATATAATTAAAAAACAGCCATACAAACAGGAAAAGGCAGCCATTTAATAATGGTCACTCTGTTTTAATTCCCTAAATTGATCTATTTCTTTACAGTAATGCTGAATATCAAAAAAAGTCATTTGATAATAGGTTCTTCTAGGTCATCTCTTCCCAGCCGGGGGAGTATGTTGGATCCTATAGTTAATAATTTCCTTAAATTCAATTTTATATATGAAAATTAAGCCAAAATATTCTAAATTCAATTGTACAATATAAATCTTTAATATGTAAATTTTAAAGCAATCAACATGTATGTAAATTTCCAGTTTGGTTAGTTAATAGTTTTTGTTTTCTCTCTCTCTCTACCACTAGTATCAAAATCTAAGTCAAATTCATGTAACCTAAAATCATGTGGTAGCTACTCATAACTCTAAAACCCAAAGAAAATAAAACAATTCAAGACAAGTGGCAAAGTGCTTCTTAGTATCTTTTACTGAACATTCATGCCACGAACACCATTCTTAAAAAAGAACTGTAGTGGTAGTTTTTGAGAATTTATAAGTCAATTTGATTGTGGCTCATGAGACACGGGGAACTTGGGGAACTATTTTTTTTTTTTTTTCTTACAATTCCAGTTTCCACATATTCTTCTGAAGTGTAGATTAAATTTTGTTTTTAACCTGTTATTCAAACCATTTCTGGCTTTAAAATAATTTGGAATTATTTTTTAGCCTAGGTTAAACTTGATATAGAACGCTTCTAAAAGGGCATGCTGCCACTGTTTTTTTAGAACGCCACTCTTTGTTTCTTTTCTTTATTTTGGAAGCCATTTGTATTTTTCTTCTATTTCAAAATTGTCGAATGAAAAGATATTCTATTGAATAAAAGTATAATGTGTAAAAATTTATACAACATACAGCAAAAATAGAATGGAAATGAAAACAAACAATGCCGCTTGAAATCGCGATCCGTGAGCTGAAGCATGCTAAAAATTTTGTTGTTTTAAATTTTTTTTAAGTCAAAATTTTAAGTTCGTTATAAGCATAGTATTTTTAATAGATTTTATCATTTACTCGCGCCGAGCCTCCGAAGCTCATCTCAATTTTCAAAACTCAAAAATGAGAATTTTAAAAATGAAAAAAAAAAAGATAATTTTCATAGCTGTACTTATTCAGCAGATCGACATTTAAACTATATTTGAACTTCAATGGCAGCAGGAGAGTGTAAAAAAAAAATAATTAAAAAATTGCCGGCGTGCCTCAAAATGCGAGTTTTTCGCGAGTGCTGACGTAACACTTTTGGTTACGGTTTCACTTTGCTGTCTGGCCTTTCTCTCGTCACTGGTACGTTTTTGTGGAATCCTTTAAAACTTGTTTTTCAATTATTTATCCATATTTAATTTTTTAATTTATAATATATTGAATTTTTAATATACAGTGGTACCTCGACATACGAGCGCCCCAACATACGAGTTTTTCGAGATACGAGCCGACGAGCAAGTGATTTTTTGCTTTTAGTTACGAGCGAAATTCGAGATACGAGTTCGGTTCGGTAGTAACACGCAGTCGCGCCATCACGATCAGTTAGCAGCGTACTTCCGCTGTGATAAGTTGTGTTTTGTGTTGCATTTACATTTACAGTTTTAGTTCATTTATTTTTATAACCATGGATCGGAAGAAAGTTTGTAAAAAGTCAAGTGCTAAGAAAAAGATGATGAGCATTGAATTAAAACGTGAAATTTCTACAAGTGAGATAAAGGAGATCTTAGGAATGTGGGAGAGAGTTTCACAGTTCGTGGAAAAAAAACACCCAGAAAAAGTTGCAACAGGTCGTGCATCTGACCTTTTGTGTACAACACTTGCCTAACTCCTTTCCGGAACATTCTGAGAGGGAGGAAGAAACAAACCTCCTTGGACATGTTTTTTTCTAAACGGCCTACAGGTGAAAGCGAGAAAAATGTAGCGAAAAAGGCAAAGACCAGTGAGGATATCTAATTTATTTCTTTACATTCTCTTTTTTGTTTTTGTGCAATAAATATTTGATATTTATAAATATGTTTTTATTATTTAAAACCACGTAACAAAAATAACTGGGGTGACATTTTGGAGGTTGGAACGGATTAATGGTAGTTCAATTGTTTTGTATGGGGAAATTTGCTTCGAGATATGAGTAATTCAAGATACGAGCAAGGTTGCGGAACGAATTAAACTCGTATGTCGAGGTACCACTGTATAGGCTTAATTTTAGAGCTTTTTTTTCTCTGAAAATGGCTAGTAAAACGGTGCTATATTTTCCCTTGCGCCAAGAACCGCATGTCAACCATGACTTGCTGTAAATGCAATAAGAACATTTGCAAAGAGCATTCAAACCAAATTTGCCAAATATTGGCGATTTATTAGATATAAAAGAATTTGTGCAAAGCCTGCGAAGATTTCTGCTTTTTCACATGTTTTTATATTTTTATGCATGACTTGGTAATTATGAAAATAAAATTTTTAACTTTGCTATCAATTTAATCCTTATTGTCTATCTACTAAGGTAAAATGCATTTTTTATTTTTTGAAAAATAATTTCATCATTTTTATCATCATAAAGTTCGAGCTCGGGAAGCTCGGCGCGAGTACCTATGTCCTAAAAATGGGCGCGTTTAATTAAGGGTTAAAACCTCTGAAATTTTGTAGATTGTAAATTTTGACTCTTCTGACTCAAAAGGTTGCCGACCGCTGAGCTAAAGTATAGGCAAGGTCACCAGCTAAGGTATAGGCAAGGTCACCAGCTAAGGTATAGATAGGCAAGGTCACCAGCTAAGGTATAGGCAAGGTCACCAGCTAAGGTATAGACAAGGTCACCAGCCAAGGTATAGGCAAGGTCACCAGCTAAGGTATAGGCAAGGTCACCATCTAACGCAGTATTAGTGAGAAAAGAAGTACCTGCATAGTATCCGATATCGTTGTTGGGATTGAGGTAGCCCAGGTCATAGCTCTCCAGCATGCACTTGTCCCAGTTGGGCCGGTACTTGGGATCCAGCAGGACATCGAAGAGCAGGGAAGGCTTGATGTCCTTGAACACCATTTTCACCTGCACATGGTACTTGTCACCTACGACTCTATATTTCTGTAGTTTGCACATAAGTAAAAATAGGAGAACTTTATAATAAAAATAATAGTTTATGACTAAAAAGTAATTTAAATTTTCTATAAGATACAGTAAAACCTCACTAAAATAAACTGAGAATATAGCACAAACCTTCCCTTATAACGAACCTGAAATGATCCACATTTTTATTTTATAAAACAGTGAACTATGGCTATAACGAACCATGGCTATTGTGAACCAAAAGTTCAGTCCCATTGGGTTTGCTATAAAGGGGTTTTACTGTATATAATTGAGTATGCACACAGCTTTTAAAAAAGGAAAAAATTGGTCTTTTAAAATTATTTCCATCTTAAAGTGTTCTTCTAAAGCATTCATCCAAATGAGGGTTGGTGAAGAAATGTGGATTTTCAACAACCAAGATCCTCTACATGGAGGAATGCTTTCTGCCTCAATACACCACTCCAACTCCACCACCGATGAGTGCAAGAAACCAAATCAGCCACATTGTCGGTACAAAGTTGAATTGCTTTAAACATTTGTAGAGCTGAGTAAAAATATCAGGCCTCCAGGAAAAAGTATCTTTTCAAAAACCTTTTAATCTCTAGCTTTCGGGCACGAACACCCTTCTACAGGAGAAAACACAGTATAACAGTATATTATATAACAGTATATTATACTGTGTTTTCTCCTGTAGAAGGGTGCCCAAAAGATAGAGATTAAAAGGTTTTTGAAAAGATACTTACACTAGAGATATTTTTACTCAATATTGATACAAGGGATTATTTTATTGAATTTGTAGAGTACACTTACAGTAAAAGGCAGTTGCTAACAACCCAATATGATTATAATGGGTAGAATTGAGGAAAGGAAAAAAATGTAATTGCTCCAAATGTAAACATCAGTAAGATGTATGTAGTTATAACTTCATTCAAGGGTAAGCTACTTTGACATCAGTTTTGGAAGCTTTTGGCATCAGTTTAGTGAGGTGCCTGACAACTAAATAGTGATATTAGGGTTATATATATATTTTAAATTAGAATAATAAATTACAAAACAGGCAGCTGCAG